TTATTCAAGCCAGAAGGCAACAGTGAACACACACACACACACACACACACACACACACACACACTGGATTACATTAGATGACATTTCAATGATCTATGTTAGAAGAGCAATTCTAACAGATTCTTCCTTGTAGTAACTGAAAAGCCTGACTTCCTCACTTCTCACCTAATACCTACGCAGCATTATCTGCTTCTCCCTGACTCCTGACCTCACAATGACCTCACTCTTCTTGGAGAATGAGCAGGATTGTATAGAGCAGCTTGTGCTTATTGACCTCATGTGTTTCCTAAAAAAAAAAAAAAAAAAGGAAGCAGTCTGACTTTTTTAATTTACATTGACGAGATCACAAATCTACCAAGATTGGCCCTCCTCCAGTCCAGAGGGTGGTAATGTACCTGAAGCTGAACAAGGAAAACTTCTGCACTTAGCAGTTTAGTTACAACAAAAACAGTTTAGCTATTGTTAGCTAACAGCTTGATGGATGCATTTATTGTTTTTGTTACCTTAGAGTGAACTGTTTTTATCTATAGGTCATCTTCTGTGGGGACCTCCATGTTTCTACAGAAGCCCCTAAACACTGTCTCTTGATAGGGGTGTTTGTATTTTTCCACACAAAAACAGCCTGTAGTTTCTACTTTTTTGCAAGACTATTCTTTTTTTTTTTTTTTCTTTTTTTTTTTTAAATACCAGCCATTTAGAACAACTACCGTATGTATGTTTTAGAAAGCCATACACAGCTAACATTTAAACAGCACTTTAACTCTTCAGCTGACAGCGCTGTCAGCAGCCGGCAGGAAAGACGCTCTGAACCGTGCTGCTGTTGCATGAAGATCCCTGAAGGCCTGCTCTGCTGCTGCTGCACAGAGCGCCGTTCATTTGTTTATTCAAACTTTATTAATATTCAACGTGTTGCCTGTCCAAGCTGAACCCGCACTGCACTTCCTTGGGTCCCCAGAAACCTGCCGAGTGTGAAGTCGACTGGATGGGCGGTTGTTGAAAAGAGCGAAACAGGAGTTGAATTTATTGAACAGTTGACTGTCAACTTACATGCCTCCTCATAGCCACCTGAAATCTCAACTAATATATGTGATATTGTTGTTCCAAGCAGACTATTCGTATATATGTTAATACATATCTGGAGGGGATCTTTAAAATAGTTTATAAATCCAAAGTCACACATGTCACAACGTTCCTCCGGGAGGATCATCAAGGTTTCATGTCACCTCTCGCTCTCCCTCTCACCTCTTGAGTCAATGGTCCAAGGGCATAATCCAGTCTCTGACAGAGCTCCCCCAGGTTGGACAGGCTGCTGGCCCGGACACTCTGGTCTGGGTCTCTGGTTCCTTGCAGGAAGACGGCCACCAGAGGACGGCCGAGGTGAGGCGCCAGTTCCCCTGCAGGAGGAAGAGAGGAGTGGAAGATGATGCAGGTAGGTTAGTTCTTGCGTAGATATAAGATGCATTCACAGGGGCACCCTATACCTCACCTAGTAGAGCTGGTGCAACCCACATTATCAAATGCAGCAGTAAGTGTTGTCAGAGTCTTTAACACCAAACAGCATAATGCTCTACTAAAACTTCAAACGATTTTTGAGGCAAAATTAAATCCAATGATATATATAAATCTAAATAGACTGAATATAATCAGTTCCTCACTTTGGTACAGACAGAAATATCTTAACTATTGGAGGGAGAGCCATGACATTCAGCACAGACATTCACAGTCCCCAGAGAATGAATCGGTTTATGACTAAACACTGACTGATTGACTGGTTCACTTTATTATCCCAGAGGGATAATAGTGACATTCATCAGCTTCAGCTTTGTGTTTACTGCTCATTAGCAAATATTAGCACACTAACATGCTAAATTAAGCAAAGTTTAGCCTCTATAGGAGTGTTATATTTGTCTTGTTATCTTGTTGTGTTATCCATTCAAAAGACCAGTGTGTGGTATTTAGTGGCATCTAGCAGTAAGATTGCAGATTGCAACCAACTGAAACCTCCTGACTCAACCATGTGCAAAGGAGAAACTACGGTGGCAGTGAAACTACAGAGAAAATGTAACAAAAAGGTCCTATCTGCGGCCAGCATTTGGTTTGTTTGTTACCGGCTACTGTAGCAACATGGTGGTTCAACATGGCAGACTCCGTAGAAGAGGACCTGCTTAAGACATAAAAAAAACAGCTCGATTCTTATTTTCAGGTACACTAATGAAAACCAATTTCTGTCAATAGATCCAATGTTACACACTGGACCTTTGATTACTAGATAATGGCATGAATAATTGACTTACTCATTAATTATGTAGCTTGTCGGTTTATGTTTTATTGGATAGAATTGTTCGAATTTCCTCTGACGTCAGCATGTTTATTACGGGCCAGGTGCCCCGCCTCCACTACAATATGCTGCACGAAACAATGCATTCATTTGTTTGTTGGGAAATAAGGAGAATAAACAAATAAAGAATAACTGGTGGGATTTCATGTTCAACTGCAGAAATAGAAATACTGCTCACTCCACCGATCCAAAAATGCCGCTCAGACCAGCCAACATGCCAAACTACTTAAAGCCTAAAACACAAGACAGAGAGGTGTAGAGGGGGAGGTGAGTAGTGGATCACTTTGGGCAAGAGAAGGAGATTTCTGACAGCAGCGCAGATAGTGCACTAATTTAGATAGTAGCTTTAAATTTAATCCAGCCATTTAAATCCACATCTTGAACCCAGACTAATACTGTTGTTTACAGTGTAGTCCTACTCGGTTTAACTAGCGGTGTGTGGGCGACACTTTTCACAGGCGTGTGTGCCACACTTACTGGGTAACTGAGAATTTGTGTCTGAAATGTGTAACCTCACTACTGGGCTGGGTCCCCTTCTCGTTTCTCTATGCGCCAAGTCACTTGACTCTGTTATTCACTCACATGGCTATGCACCACAGCTATGCAGATGACGCTCATCTAATTCTGTATTTGTCTGGTACTACAAATCTGGTGTCTGGCTGACATTTCTCAGTCGATGTCTACACACAACCTGAAGCTCAACCTTGACAAGACTGAGCTGCTCATCCTTCCAGGGAACCTCTCCTTTACTATTGAGAACTCGGTCGGTATGTCAGACTACCATCTGAGACTCCTACTTCATATCCTACCGCTTTTACAGGGTAACAGGGAAACTTGTAGCCTCACTACTGGGTTGGGGTCCCTCAGGGTTCTATAATGGGTCCCCTCCTAGTTTCTCTTTATACCAAGTCACTTGACTCTGCTATTCACTTACAGTGCTTTTCCTATTACAGCTTTGCAGATGACACTCATCTAATTCTGTATTTTCCAGTCTGGCAGCACAAATCTGGTGTCTGCAAATGTCTAGATGTCTGCACACTACCTGAAGCTCAACCTCGACAAGACTAGCTGCTACTCCTTCCAGGGAACCTCTCCATTACTATTGTGAACTTGCTGATTACTGATTTTGATTTTAATGGATGATTAATTTGCATAATAAAACAATGAATAACAACAAACAGAGCTTTTGTACAAATACAAATTTTAATGTGCTCACCTTGCTTTTCCCTTTTCCACAAACACATACCTCTTATTGCACACAGAAACAGGGCAAGCCGGTGGCCCTGTTTCTCTCTTCCAGCATTTGTCGGCTCTGTTAAATTTCACTGTCAGGCTCGGCAGTATGCTTTATAAAGTTGCCCAAAAAACAGGTTTTTACGGTTGTGAGTGAATAAAACGGGGTTGACTATTATTACCTAACAACATGAAAGATGTTAAGACTTTCTTCACCCTGAGATGAGGGAAACTGACTTTGAACAGTTTCTGTCTCCTACTTAAGCATTCATGCTGTTTCATTCGTTATATGTTCAGTCAGTCCGACAATAGTCCATGTTGTTGTCAGCGTCAGTTGTTACTCACTTCCATAATTTCGTGGCTTTTGCAATTTGTTGATACATCTCAGCCAAGGTACATTTTGTATTATTTCACCTGCGATTCTGTTTCCACAGTTGTGAGCCGCGTGTGGAGGAGTGTTATGTCTTCTGAACTCATGGTAAAAAAATTCCACACCAGTGACATGATTTAGCGTGTGGCGCTGTAACAATAGCCGCTTATTGTGAAAATATATATCCAGCACAGAATATGATATATGAGACCAAGGACCAGTCATGGCCAATCAAGCTGAAAACCGGATGGTTCCGGTCACCAATCCTTCGGTGCATTTCTACACACAAACATAAAACAAAACAAACTCTCTCTATCTCATATTGTTTCTAAATGTAGCACTTGAAGCAGCTTAGCCCATTTGATGACACTGATGTACTGATTCTTGCAATGTTTGGGTTGTAACCTCATGGTTGAATGCACTTATTGTAAATTGGTTTGGATTAGCTTCTGCTACATAAATGCAATGTAATGTAATGACATATTTAGCTTGTCCTAGATTACGCTGCCAAGCACTTCCTCATAATCACAAGATTGAACCCCCAAACACACACACGCATACACACACCAGCTCAGCTATTCTCCCTTCTTTGTCTTTGTCACGGCTCTAGATGTGGTGTTCAAGTGAAAGTGAGTCAGCAAGACTATCAGCCTGTGTCACAGCTGCACACATTAACATACACGCAAACAAAACACACCTGGGAAGATTCATACAACACTCGCTTTTACTAAGCTGTATTTAGTCTATGCATCCCTTTCTTGTATTTAAATAAACTTTATGTCTTGGGAGTGTCATTTGGTGCCGCGTTTTCCTCTTTTAGTACATTTTCTGCCCATCATTGCACACTATGGGAGCTCTGCAAGTGCTTCTCTACAAGTGCAATAAGCCAGCAACTGGGAGCAAACCAAAGCAGAGCCAAACATTCATTTATTCAACATTTACTCAACCAGGCCAGTCAATTAAGAAAACCTTATTTACAAATGACAGCCTGGCAAAAGGCAAATCTTGGCCACTCGGGGGGGTTCAAGACAAACACAGAGGCTCTCTGGATGTCTGTGCAGCAAACTGAAGGTCTATCCAATCTCTCAGCAAGGATATAAACCCCCTGATTGTCCCAGGGAAGTGGTACGATGGCAATCTGGCAGATAAAACCAGAGTGCGGGAAAAAAAAACACAAAACGGTTTTCTATCAGGGAAAGGTTCTAATACACAGGGTCCCTTCTGAACAGAGATCTGCATGGAAAACAAGCCTGCAGTGTGGCTTTTGTGGTGTGGTGGCTGCTGGCTCTGTCTACCACGGACAAATATGCATGTAAACAAATATGGATACATATCAAATATTAAATAAACAAACTTATATTATGTTTACCATTCACAAAGTCAAATGGCAATGTTCCTTTGGCTGGACAAGGGCACATTTTGGCATTTGGCAGCCCTCCACAGAGGTCAAAGGTCAAGCTGAGCAACAGATAGTTTCACTTTGCAAGCAATAACAACACCACAGAATCCCTCAACCCCTGTCAATTTCTATTTAGTGCCTGTTGCCAGAGTAATGCTATCTAAAAACTAGCTAGTGGTCCTTTTAGAGTTATTAGACATTTGCCTGCATATTGAGATTATGGTACTTGTAATTTAGCTTTGGAAAGGGTACAAGCATTAATCTCACAAAATAATTTAATTTATATGAAAATAACTTTTTGTCATATTTGCTGAAACTTTCACTATATCCTGACAGTAGTACATGAGACAGCTCAGGCCTGATGGATTCTTGCAAATGCTTTTAGGAGCACTAAGGGGAACTGACTTTTTTCACAGATTATCTGTCAGGATATAGTGAAAGTTTCAGCAAATATGACAAAAAGTTGTTGTTTTCTTAATAAAAGTTACCTACTGCAGCTTTAAGAAATCAAGTAAGTGTGCTTCTCACAATGAATTATCCCTTTAATGTATAACATGGAGCATGATGTATGCTTAATTCAGTCAAAAATTGGGTATCAAATCTGATCTCACAAACATTTATGTGAACAAACTACAGATGATGCTCACCCATAGCCCTGCTCGCCCTCATCAGGACTTCTCCCACTTTGAGCCGGGTTTCCAGGGAGTGCTCCTTGTTGGATGTAGGGAGCGATGGACCATGCTGGAAGTCTTTTAGAAGCCTTTCCAGAATCCTTTCGGGGTAGGAATCAGCCAATGCAGACAGACCTAAAGAGAGTTCATACTCAGTCCAACTGCTCTCGAGACTGTTTCAGCGATTATCAGTGGATTAAACTGCCTATTTCTGTAGATCGATGATCATAAAAATCAATGATAGCATCACATTTTGCCAAGCTGTACCATTATATTACCTTGAATGGCTGACAGGTAGATGAATGAGTCTTCATGCTCCAAATTTTCTAAGAAAAGCTGGAGAAGACATGCCATCAGCATAATTATTCACCACACACACTGGTCTATGTATAGTTAAACAAGTCCCTTTCTGAGAATATTCGGCCATTTCTGTGTGAAAAACATCAAAAACATCACCAATATGGATCTTTCCAGTAGAACCAAAGAAGATCAATAACGCTGTGTAGGCACCGAATAGATCGAAAACAATTCAACCAACTATCAAAGGGAATAATAATAGGCCCTTGAAGTTATGGTTTGGGGGGGGGGGGGGGG